AGATACATAGACACAAGGACACAAAGACACAAAGACACAAGGACACAAGGACACATAGACACATGGACACATGGACACACGGACACATGGACAGACACAAGGACACAAGGATACATAGACACAGACACATGGACACAAAGACACATGGACACAAGGACAAGGACACAGACACATGGACACAGACACAAGGACACAAGAACACATACACAAGGACACAAGGACACATGGACAATGACACAAGGACACAAGGACACAAAGACACATGGACACAAAGACACATAGACACAAAGACACATAGACACAAGGACACATAGATACATGGACATATAGATACATAGACACAAGGACACATAGACACAAGGACACATAGACGTTCATCAGCAGCTATAATAATTTAGTAATTTTTGAGCAAAAAAAACATTTTCTTCTTAAATGTGATAATTTCTGCTTTTCTAAATATTAACATAAAAAAAATAAAATAAAATAAAACTTAGGTTATGGGTGTGGTCAGGTGACTCACTGCTGAGCTCCTGGTTGCCGTTGGTTACGAAGGATTTGTGGACGTTAGAGTTCAGCAGAAGTTCAGTCAGTTTGTCCACTAAAAGAAATAAAGAGATAAATAGATATACAGATATACAGTATATACATACACATATATACATATATATATGTGTATGTATATATGTACATACTGTATATACTGTATATATGTACATATATACATATACACATATATATATATATAGTATACATATATGTACATATGTACATATATATGTATGCTATATATATACATATATGTGTATGTATATATGTACATATATATGTGTATGTATATATGTACATATATACATATACATATATATGTACATATGTACATATATACATATATATGTACATATGTACATATATACATATATACATACATATATATATATATATACGTATATATACATATATACATATACATGTACATATGTACATATATACATATATACATACATACATATATACATACATATATATATATATATATATACGTATATATACATATATACATATACACATACATATATACATATACATATGTACACAGATATATAGTTTGGTTTGATTCTGAGGTTTAATCTGAAAAAGGAGAAGTAGGAGAAAAAGGAGAAGGAGACTCACCCTCAGTGATGGAGGAGGTGAGGAGCGGCTCCGCCTGAGGAGCGTGAGGAGTGTCTGCCCTGAACAGGTTCCTGCAGGAGGAGAAGGTGCTGCTGAGATCCACACCTCCTTCTTCATCTCCTCCTCCTCTTCCTGTCGCCTCCACCAGGTCAGAAAACAGAGTCACTCGCTCCTGGAGGAGCTCCAGCACCTCCCTGTCCTTCTGCTGGATGTCAGCTGAGGAGGAAATATGTTGAATTACATCTGAAGTAGGAGGAGGAGGAGGTGTAGGATGAGGTGAATGAGGAGGAGGTGTAGGAGGTGAATGAGGAGGTGTAGGAGGTGAATGAGGTGTTGTACCTCTGAGTCTGCGCAGTAACGCTTTGTCTTCAGTCTCGATGAGAGGAAACTCGTCTCTGGACGGACATCTGCAGAAAAAACACATTAATTACTTCATAGTGTACTTCATAGTGTACTTCAGAGTGTACTTCGTAGTGAACTTCGTAGTGTACTTCATAATGTACTTCATCGTGAACTTCATAGTGTACTTCATAGTGTACTTCATAATGTACTTCATAGTG